TGGTAATCAAACCTATGGCCAATATTACAAATAAACTGACTATTCTTCACACTCCATATAGGAAAAATAATGAGAGACAATAATCTGAATAAAAGAGTCCACCATAAATCCAACAAGTGTCAGAGAAACAAAACTGGTACCCATTTTTTTCTTTCTCTTTTAGCCTGTTTATGCTGTGATCTTATTTTGTGAATTCTGTTTACACACAGATGGCTTATGCTGGAATGATATGTATACATGCCCAGTCCACTGTCTCTTTTAGCCTGTTTATGCTGTGATCTTATTTTGTGAATTCTGTTTACACACAGATGGTTTCAAGTGTTTAGTTACCAAGGAGTTAGTTGCTACACATATTTGATCTCAACCTTTTTTCTTATTCCTTGAATTTTTGAAAAGACAAGTTTTTATCTTCATTACTAATATCACATCAATAACTATGTCAATAATCATAACAATCAAATTCATATTCATAAGACTACTAAAAATAAAAAGTTTTTTTTTTTTTAAATTGAGGAATGGGGTAAAAAGGTGAGATCAGATAAGCCTAATAACTCACTCCTTGAAAACTCAATCAATGTGTAACCAAAATTAACCAAATGAAACTACATGGAATTCTCTGTATACCAACTACCCATTGGTTAAAGAGCATTAAAAAACAACACGTCACTCGTCCTCAACCTTGCACTATCCAACACAGCCTCAAGTCTTCCCCAAACCAATCAAGTTACTTACATTCTGTGCTTCCATCTTAGGGCTCTCAACGGCGATGGCAGCCTCCTCAAAATTGGCATTTGCTGAGAGTACAGCCGACAGGGAGAGCAGGGCCTCCGTGGCATCAACACTACTCTCCTGGTGGTCGCCATTGAAGAGCCTAACCGTCCAAGCATATCCTGATAGGACATTCAGGATGTTGAAGGGGATGGTTGGAGACGGGGAGCCCTTCTGCGGGAGAGGGAAAACTTCTGTAATTTTCTAGTGATGAGTGAGTGCTTGAGGAGAGGCAGATATAAAAATCAGGATTTGGGGCATCTCATAAGACTTATAATAACTTATTGTCTGGCTGACTGATTGACTGCATTTATGTCTATGATTGAATGACTATAAGTCTGCCTGACTGATTGACTGACTGACTACCTGCTTGACTAACTGTCTCTCTCTCTCTCTCTCTCTCTCTCTCTCTCTCTCTCTCTCTCTCTCTCTCTCTTTCTCCCTCTCTCTCTCAATCCTCTCTCTCTCAATCCCTCTCTCTCTCAATCCCTCTCTCTCTTCAATCCCTCTCTCTCTCAATCCTCTCTCTCTCTCTCTCTCCCTCTCTCTCTCTCTCAATCCCTTCTCTCTCTTCTCTCAATCCCATCTCTCTCTCTCTCTCAATCCCTCTCTCTCTCTCTCTCCTCTCTCTTCTCTCTCTCATCCTCTCCTTCTCTTCCTCTTCTCTCCTCTCCCCTCTCTCTCCTCTCGCCCTCTCTCTCCTCTCTCTCTCTCCTCTCCCCTCTCTCTGCTCTCCTCTCCTCTCTCTCTCCCCCTCTCCCTCTCTCTCCCCTCTCTCTCTCTCCGTCCCCCTCTTCTCTCTCCCCTCTCCTCTCTCTCTCTCCTCTCCCTCTCTCTCCCCTCTCTCCTCTCTCTCTCTCCCTCTCCTCTCCCTCTCTCTCCCTCTCTCCCCTCTCTCTCCCCCTCTCTCTCTCTCCTCTCTCCCTCTCCTCTCCCTATCTCCCTCCCTCTCTCTCTCTCTCCCCCTCTCCCTCTCTCTCCCCCTCTCCCTCTCCTCTCTCTCCCCCTCTCCCTCTCCCTCTCTCTCCTCTCCCCTCTCCCTCTCTCCTCTCTCTCCTCTCTCTCCCTCTCCTCTCCTCCCTCTCTCCCCCTCTCCTCTCTCTCTCCTCTCTCCTCTCTCTCTCTCTCTCTCTCTCTCCCCCTCTCTCCTCTCTCTCTCTCCCTCTCTCCCCTCTCCCTCTCTCTCTCTCTCCTCTCTCTCTCCCTCTCTCTCCCCCTCCCTCTTCTTCTCCCCTCTCCTCTCCTCTCTTCCCCTCCCTCTCCCTCTCTTTCCCCTCTCCTCTCTCTTTCCCCTTCCCTCTCCTCTCTTCCCCTCTCCCTCTCCCTCTCTTTCCCCCCTCTCCTCTCCCTCTCTTTCCCCCTCTCTCCTCTCTCTCTCTCTCCCTCTCCCTCTCCCTCTCTCTCCTCCCTCTCTCCCTCTCTATTCCTCTCTCTCTTCCTCTCCCTCTCTCTTCTCTCCCTCTCTCTCTCTCTCTTCAGTCCCTCCTCTCCGTCTCCCTCTCCTTTTTCTTCTCCTTCTCCCTCTCTCTCTTTCCTCTCTCTCTCCCTCTTCCTCTCTCTTTCATCCTCTCTTTCCCTCTCCCTCTCTCTCTCTCTCTTCCTCTCTCTCTTTCCATCTGAGACAACTAACAGCATGAAATGTGGCTAGTGACAAAGATTTTTTAGATATAAATTAAAGATTCCTGTTTGTTTCTATTAACCCATTTTACATGGTGACACCGATGCCAGTATCATGAAGCGCCAGATCTATTGTTAGACTCCACATACTGCCATAGAGATTCTGAAGCTCCACCCACCATCCCTGTTTCCACCAATCATGTACATCAGCGAGATATGCCCCACCCCATAACCAGAATGAGGAACTATCACTGGCAGATTCTACATCAGTTTCCCCCTCTGTGGTCTTTCCCCTGTCCTCCATATCCCTCTAACCTTTACCTCACCCCATACCCCTTCACCTGAGATGGGAGACTGTACAGGGGAGCACACTCCCCCCCTGGTTCTTCCTTTTCCTCATACACCCTCTCTCCCTCTCCTTCATTTTACACCAAATTTCTTTGAACGATTTCATATATGACAATTTTTTAATCTCTGCCTCTCGCTTTTTCTCTCTCTTGTGCGTGTGCGTGTGCGTATATGTGTGTGTGTGTGAGTATGTGTGTGTGTGAGGGGGGAAGAGAAAGAGAGAGAGAGGCAGAAACTGTATTAGATAAAGAGACTTCAGGACACAAACAAATTTCCCCCTCTCTGGTGAGAGGGGGAAATCTATATCTATGCTCATCTAAATACAAGATGCAATACTGGAAGTGTCAATATCTGATGCATACTATTTTTCAAAGTAGAATAAGCATAAATAAAAATATATAAGCATTCATACTGATGATGAAGATGAAGATGAAAATGATGATAGTGCAGATAAACCTATGCATTTCCCTAGTCTTATGATATTTTAAAATAAGTTGTTTACTGAAAGCTTAACTTACTGATATATTGCTGTTTCCTCTGAAAGAATGGATGTATATTTGGCCAGGCATGTAGACATTCCTTTTATAGCATAAAATATGGAAGCACAATAAAACTACATAAACAAGCATGAAGAAAAATATACTAAGATATACCAAGAAAGGTATACTCAGTAATAGAACAAGCCAGGTATCGTGTTACCTCACCATCACTTGACTAAGTAAGGGAACGTCTACAAGCGGCGGGCATTTAGCCACGTACGCAGGGACAATCTGGTGACCCGGGGTGATCTCCTGGACTGGTGGGACTTCTTGCTCCCACCAGGGACTCCAGGGAGGGAGTAGGTCATCGAAACTGCCTGAGTTCACTAGCTGTCGGAACTCTTGGCGCTCCTTCTCTGTGAGCTTCTTCCAGACAGCCTCACTGTCATTAAGGTCGATGTCTGGGGAGAGATAACAAATTAACAAAAGAACAAAAGTGGGATATAAAATATGGAATGGGTAAACTGGATACGATTAAATCCATTGATAGCAGAAAAAAAAGGTCACCAAAGCATATTGTGTACATTCTTACAATGCTTAAGGTATAGATTTTATGAATGACAAAAAAAGAAAAAAAATAATAAAAAAAAAAAAAAGAAAAATAAGAGAAACTGTAAAAGAGAAAATATAAACAGTAATGCTCTGTTTTGGGCAGAATTTTTCAAGACATTGTAGAGAGGTGACTTTAGCAGTGTGGTTTTATTGACAACTGCAGTCATGACCTATCAGACGAGTCAGGGCTTTCATGTAACAAAGAAATTATGTTCCAGGAGATAAGCATCTTTTCAGTTTAATTTTGGAAAGAGAAATATTCTAATTATCATTTTTGCAATTATTCTGCCACAAGGGTAAAGTGGAGAGAAAGTGGTAAGAGAGTTGAAGAAATAATCATAAAGTAGACAAGGGTAATAACATAGAAATGTAAAAATTATTTTGAAATTTCTATGTAAAACAAAAAAAACACTCAATAGAAGAATGAGGTCTCATCTTAGGAACTCTTCTAAACAATCTTCCTTTATCTTTTTTCCTTCTGAAAATTAGCAAAATGACAGATTTTGACTGCATACCTGCCATCCTAACAGCAAGGTTGTCATCATCATCATCATCCGAATCCAGAGGTTCATCCACATTATCAGGTAAAATAGTTTCGCCAGCCTCCACACGGCGCAAGATCTCAACCATTTTCTTGCGTGATTCTTCTGACACAGTCCCACTTCTGAGCTGTTGAAGGAGATGAGAAGAAACATAATTAGTATGCTTTCCATTTTGTCTGACATATTTTGGTCTTACAATATATATATAGGGTGTTATCAGATATTCAGATGTTTTCATCATTTTCTAAATCCTTTGTAAACTTAGAATATATCATACTTCTATCATTATGACTATCATATAGATAATTTCTTAAAAATTCATAAGTCCTTTCGTGATACAATCAACTAAATAACCATTACATCAAATCATTCAAGAACATATCAACACAAAAACAGACATAAAAAAGGTCTAAATTAATTACCCCATAAGCACAAAAATACCCCTATCATACCTCTGCTTCTACCATGTCCTTGTAGAAGCTCTCGGAGCAGCGTGCATGCGATGCATGCTTGTAGCAACTGGATGAGCAGTATGCAAAATTGCATCGAGGGCACGTATATCTTGCTGCATTTCTACAGCTGGGGAGGAAAAGGAAGAAGATATCATTTATGTGATATACCACTGTATACAGTG